TGTAAAAGATTTCACATAATTAGACTTATTTCTTGGTATTTGGTGTATTTGATGATGCTGTCAATTATATGTGTGTGTTTCTCTTTCTTTCTTTCCTTGCGTTTGAGTTTCAAATTCATTGTTGTCTGTATCACTTTCAGGTTTTCCTAAATCATGAAAAAACTACTTGACTGTCAACTTTGGTCAAGCCAGTAATAATTGAAGAATGTTTAAACGCTTCCTTCACTGTACGTTTATCAGGATACACAGGCAGCGTCCTCAGTCCATCTTCTTGCGTCTCACTTGTTTCTCAAAGTAAATTTTTATGACGGTCCCGCAATGAATCTTTTGTTATGTCTCTTACCAGTTCATGTACACGCTATTGTTGGATTAGCCATTATTAAATGTAGCTCTAATCATAGCATTTTCTTATCAAATCTCCATAGTGTTCTGATATTTTCAGTTGTGCCATTACTCCCTTTTTTCCAGCCTTATCTCTGTTTCATCCTCTTGTGTTTCAGACACCAAATCAAACCATCCACCTTTACACACCTTAGATGAAAAGATGTGACCTTTGTTCATGCTGCTTTACGCTTACGGAATTTCCATCCATATTTGTCCCTTCTGCATCCCTCCCTCAAGAAACATGTAGATGACAATTTGGTTTAAAATAAGATGCTTTACGAGCCCTCAACCAAGTATAATTAAGTGCTTCTTTGAAATCACGTAGTACACATTTTTCACTGTTCCCCCTGCACTACTCATCTGAGGAGATATTTTCCCCAAAACCTCTTCTGACACTGTCCGATCCACCTTTGTGTCCCTAACAGGATTCATTGTCGTCTTTGGCTTGTGGTCAACAGTGAATAAATACACGTTGACTTAAATTTAATTGTAATCAATGCAAAGAGGAGTCCGTCATGCACGATGCAGTCTTTTCTGTGTGAGTTTTGCAAGCCATGGGTTCCTGAGCAAACCTTTTGAAGCACTGACACAAAAAAATAGGCAAAACTCCATTCTGCTGTGGCTAGAGTATCGTTAAAGAATTCTGAACCTTCAGTTTTTTTAAAGCATGTAATTTATGTGCATGATAAAACAGCCCCTTTGTTTCACAAGTCAACATTCTTAATGCAGCCTGTCAGAATGCATTCTCAGTAAATTGCTTTGATGAACATGCCAGCCCAGTTAGTTCCTTTTAAGGGGAAGAGAAGAAAGGGGGAAAAAAAAAAACTTTTGCAGCAGAAAAAAAAAGAAAGTAAATAGAACAGGTCTAGACTGTACCGCATAGTTTTACATCCAAGATTGCAAATAATATCGTTTCACACTCTCATGAGCCAGGATTCTGCCTCAAAATTTGCAATTCAAAAGCTCTGTTTTTGTTTTATAACAGATATGTGGTTCCGATTTCAGCTTCTGCCTCACGTACCCACCCACGAGCAGGTCCCAAGCATGCATGGACTTGATATAATTTTAAATGTCCTCCTAGGAAAACAGTCCTCAGCTTGACAACCCTGAGTTCTGGTACTTGGAGGTGCTCTGCAAGTCTGTGTCCTGGCGATGCCCAGGACAGGATCTCACCCCTAGGACTCCAGGGACAGGATACTGGTTAGTTTTTAACTGACTTTTCTGTATGCAGGACCTGGTATAGCTAAGAGAACCTAGTAAAACTTCCTGTATATATTCTCCTAGAAAATTTAAAACAAAATTCTTGGTTTCCCTCCCCTACCAAGGCTGCTGGTTTTTTCTGTAAAAGAAAAACATATTGAAAATAGAGTAGCAGAGAGATCCATTTGCTGTTTCTGTCTTAAGCGGAGCTTTGGATAAATGGAGACTTAGCCTAAAACATGTTAATTCACACAAAAGAGAGCCAGATTGTCTCATTATCAATCTTTATAAGTACGTCGATTGTGTGTGTGTGTACAAATGTTCACATACATACATTTGGGGAAGATAAGTTGCCGCCTCACTTTGGCGCTAGCCAACTACAGAAAAGCTATAGCTTCATTCAGTTAGCTCCAGTCTCTGCACTAAATGTGGTCAGGCTTAGAGGGAGATTCTCTGTATTGGAATTCTCCGTAGGTCAGTTGAGTCTTAACTAGTGTTTCCTTGGGCAGAAAGATGAAAATAAGGTTTATTAAAGAAAGCTCTGAAATTGTTGTAATACACAATGTCAGATAAACAGTGAAGAGAGATCATCAGTGAATATTGTATTGTGTGTGCACAGTGTGTCACCACGTTTGTTTGTTTGTTTTTCTGCGTTCTGTGGCTATCACTGTCAACCTGACACTTTTTTCCTCCAGGCTTCACGAGGGTCAACAATGCCCTTCCCGTAAAGCAGCTGTCAGAATGTCCTCGCCCTGGGTCTGAAAGACACGGCCCAGGATTCCTTTCAAAAGCTTAGAAAGTGGGAGCAGATTTTTGCACCCGATTCGGTACAAATCAGTAGGAGACGTGTCGGGGAGAGAGGAATGGCCTGGGATGCAGGCCGGTGGAAGGAATGGGAGGCCATGGCCTCCAGGTGCTTCTAGAACCCCCCAGGTGGCAGACCACACAGGCCCACCCCTCCCACGGTGGTGCTTTGATCTCTTTAGAGTTGTCTTTCATGCCGCCCCAGTTTCTCCAGGAGAAATACACACACCTCCACAGGAGACCCAAGGGAAATAGATCAATATAGTCTAACGGTCAAGACTCACACAGGTTGGTCAAACCTGCTGTCTCCTTTCTCCGCTACTGCTCGTCCCTGTGAATGGACCGTTCACCAGCCCGGTCAGTTCCCTGGGGCAGCCTTTCCGTTCTCCAAGGCCGCAAGGCTCCTTCCACTTCCTCGGCCCCCATGCCACACCCAGGCCCACGGATTCTTTACCGCGCAGGATAAGCGTGTGGTAAGGCCCCTCTTTCAATCCCAGGCCCCCTATCCCGAGATGCTCCCCCTCTCACCTGAGGCCATACAAGCGTTTCCAAGTCTGTCCTCGCTTGACAATTCCACCTTTTCTCGAAAGCTGTTCTGTGAATGTTTGCGGGCTGATTCTCGGTCCTGGAGGTAGAGAGGACCAGGAAACAGGATGCATTCTGGTGTAGGAACTTGCTCGAATTGGTTGAATCTCAGCTGTGTCTCTCTGGAAGGTGGATTTTTTTTGTTTGTTTTTTCAGGAGGATCTTGCTTTTCTCAGTGTGAATATAAAATATGTGGTGACTGGAGATGTTTGGTTATCAAGGCTTTGATCTGTCTTGGTCCAGCTCTGTGTGTCCCCGCGTGAGCAGCTGTTTCCAAAGGTGCAGACCTGAGATGGGCATCCTGGACCATAAGGGCCTGGCCTGGACTGTATGCAGTTATTTAAGACTGAACGACCCGTCTCTTTACACTCAGGAAAGCCTGTTTATGTCACACCAGAGTCCCAAAAGGCGGGGGCCCATCTCTGTTGTTCTGCATTGTGGTTACAGGATCCAGTGTTGGAAATGAGCTTTTCGCTCTGATCTTGGGCACATACTCATTGTATGAATGGATGGATATCCGTGAAGAGATGAGCAAACTGTGGTCTTCTGATGAAATTATTCTGGTGGGACCAGAAGCAAGGGCAGCCCCACTGCCGCCCCCCGCATTGTGTGGTGGGAGGCACTTCTCCTAGGACAGAGGGATTTCCCATCCCCAGCTGACCCTGAGAGATGCACATACAGCGGCCGAAATTAGAAGTAAGAGGAGAATCATTGGGCCCCCTTGAGCGGAGGACTCCTTCCCTTTTTTGGCTTCATGGAATTCGGTCCTGGGGACGGAGACAGTTGCAAGGGCGACGTTTGCCGGATCCTGACAGGGTACTGCCTTCCGGTTGCTACTTTGGTAAAGGAACGTCAGCTGGGCCAGTCCGTTCCACACACCCAGACTAACTTAATCTGCAGAAAGGTGAGGTTTCGGCACTGGCAGTCTAATCCCTTGCTCCGAGCCCCATACAGATTGACTCCCATCCCTCTGTTGTTGGTGTCATTTCCAGCTTGTTACTTAAGCCTCTTTGGTCACAGGAGGCCCATCCTTCCTACTTAGATGCAAGCCCCTGAGGGACAGAGTCAGGGTTTATTCTTCACAGGCCACAATGCCTGCTGAAGATAGACCTCGCCCCAGGATGCATGCGTTACATTCATTTTGTTTTCTTCATTGAGGTTAAGTAGTTTGCTTGCAGTGGGCCCCTTATTCAAGGAATTGAGAAAAGTTGAGACCTGCATCTATATTCATTTCACAACCAATGTGTGAACATGTGGACGGGTAGCTCCCTGTTCCTCATTCCTTTTTATTTTATTTTTTGTCTTTTTTTTTTTTTTTTTTTTTACTGGTGTATAGTTGCTTTACAATGGTGTGTTAGTTTCTGCTGTATAATGAAGTGAATCAGCTACATGGATACATATAGCCCCTCCCTCTTGGACCTCCCTCCCCCCTCCCCCATCCCATCCATCTAGGTCACCACAGAGCACCAAACTGAGCTCCCTGTGCTTTATAGCAGGTTCCCCCTAGCTATCTGTTTTACACGTGGTAGTGTATATATGTCAGTCTTAATCTCCCAATTTGTCCCACCCTCCCCTTACCCCACCCACGTCCACATGTCCATTCCCTACGTCTGCCTCTCTGTTCCTGCCCTGCAGATAGGTTCATCTGTACCGTTTTTCTAGATTCCACGTGCATATGTTAATATACAGTGTTTGTTTTTCTCTTTCTGGCTTACTTCACTCTGTATGACAGGCTCTAGGTCCATCCACCTCCCTACAAATGACTCACTTTTGTTCCTTTTTATGGCTGAGTAGTATTCCATTGTATACATGTACCACATCTTCTTTATCCATTCATCTGCCGATGGACATTTAGGTCCCTGTTCCTCATTTCTGAATACGCATGTGTAATAGGCACACAGCTTGACTTAGACCTGACCTACCATCTAAATGGTTATTTGACATGTCAGTTCTAAGGAGCTTGTTGGGGGCATGGTAATTCTGGACATGGTGCTCCAACAGAGCTTTCTCATAATTCCTTCCACCAGGTTCGGGGGAACCAGGAAGGGTGTGGTTCCAGATAGTGAAGGCGTCTGTGGACTGTCTGCCATTTCCGACACCTGGCGTGAGTTGAGGCAGCCTCCGTACCTTCGTTGCCGTCACGGTCAAGTGGGGCTAACATTTATCTTCTTCGAGTTATGCCCTCTTACGTGCTTGCCTACTCACGTGTATTTGCAACGTGCCTTAAGTTCCTCAGATTCCTGCCCGAAGCAAAGTGTGGCAGAGGACAGAGCTTGGAGAGCTTTGCAAATTTGCAGCTTGGGAACACTTCAAAGCCTGGTAATGATAGCACATGTCTAAGGTGATTGGGAAGTGTCTCTGTGTTTCCTTTACATCCCTTTGCTGGGGATTTGGTGTATATGTCATGACTCCATTAAGTTTCCAGGGGTCTCAGATCCTTAAAATTAAAAGGATTGAATAAGATTATTTGTAATATTGCTCCCGTTTGTTGATGCCTGGTTTACTTGGGAACAGTGAAAAATCCTAAACCTTATCTGCACTGGAGTATAAAGCATTCGTTCTTATCAGATAACATACAGTTCTCCTTCTGAACCCCGTGGTTTCATGAAATAAGCTGAATTTTCCTCCCTTGACAGAATAATTTGAAAACAACCTCTGACCTTAGCAAATGCAATCTGGGCAGCATTTGGCTCGGCTATAGAACTGAGACCTGAAGATAAATGATTTTCATTGTTCCATTTAAAAATATCATTTTCCCAGGTGTTTAAACGTAAGCAGTACTATTATGTAATTAAACACAGGTTCGTGAACATTTTCGTATCTTGGATTGTTTGCCGCCTTACAAGATGAGTCATGTCAGATTAGCTATGGTCTGAAGTAAATACGCATAATAAACAATACATTATTTTGTAGACTTGTATCAAATGTCCCAAGTAGTTTTAGTTACCAATACAACAAACATATTTATCCCATGGAGCAATTTCTCTGTTAGACCCTGGCAAGTGAATTGCTGGGAAGTTTCCGGGCGTTCCAGGGGGCTGTGCGCACTGTGATTTCATTTCAGCGCGGTTTTGTTTGCTGCTCCAAAACATTACAGTCAAAAACCAAGTATACAGGAAACAAGATTCAGACAGTGTTTGTATTCTTGTGTGAATAATGTTAGACACCAAAAGATGCCTGTGAAAGTGGATTACAGACAAAATCCTGTATATAGTTTTTATATATACACACACACGTGTAGGTATATAATTTTATTTACATATGTATTTTGTTTATAACTTATATAGTCACATACATGTTTGATGATATATGATCTCATCTATATACATATAATATTATAGTAAAAGAGACAAAACAGAAGACCAGCGATTATTGAAAGCCAGCTCTATTTCCATCTCCGCCACCTTGCCGAAAGATCAGTAAGCCCAGTGTTTGTAACTGACGTCAGCGCATTGGCGAAGGTCAAATCTTCTGTCATCCTGCGTTCCTCGCTACAGGCTCAGTTCTCAGATTCCAGGCCACGTCACTTGCACTGAACGCAATGATGAAATGTTTCCTCAAGTGCGGTTTAGTCTGTCATATCCTCTCACTTCCAATATGCGTTAGCATGGACCAAAAGGAAGAGAGATTAATAGAAAGCAGGTTCTCAGGGTTCCAAACCAATGTCAGGACTTTGTATAAAGCTAGAGAAAGAAGCCTTCTAACAGTGATGGTTAAAATTCCGACCTCCGAATATGAATATCTCAAAAAGCAAATGAAAGCTTCAGCGACTTGAATCATTTCAGTTCCTAGAAAGGCTGAAATGGCCATTGAGAACTGATTGTTCCAGTTCGGCTGGGGCTGAATTACCATTTGACATTTTAAATTATTCTTCAGGAAGGTAGTTGTAATTTGGTTGCCTAGCAATTTGGTTTTTTAATATAGTCACTTCGTCTTGAAGGTACAGAATGGTGTCCGTGAGAACAGCTGAGAATAAACTTTGACTAGTGACCAAGATAGGAATGGATGATCTTCTATCAACGTTTTCATTTTGTCCCTAAGCCCCATAACATTCTACATTTTAGGAGGTTATTCATTGTATGTTGCGTCAGTCCACAGAGTATATGCAAGGGCTACGGTATTCTGAATGGTAATACCATGTTATTGTCTTAGTCGGTTCAGACTGTACAATAGAATACTGTACTCTGGGTGGCTTATAAACAACAGACTTTTCTTTTCTCACAGTTCTGGAAGCTGGAAGTCCAGGATCAAGGTGCCGGCAGATTCGGTGTCCGGTGAGTATGTGCTTCCTGGTTCATAGATGGTCGTCTTCTTACTGTGTCCTCACATGGTAGAAGGTATGAGGGGGCTCTCTGGGGTGTCTTTTATGGGCACTAATCCCATCATGAGGGTGACACCCTCATGACCTCATCACCTCCCGAAGGACCTAACAGCATCACATGGGGGTTAGGATGTCAACATACAAATGGAGGGTGGGTGGAGACACATTTAGTCAGTGACTGTTACATATGGTGCTTTCAAAAAAAAGGTTCCTCATCATTGCCATTGTCATTATTCTGGCACAAAATGCCTGTGAGGTAGGGTTGCCTATGGGTTGTCAATATAGACACTGATATTACCAACTGGGAAAATGAGAGAGAGTGTAAATTGTGTTCCTCCTCCCACCAGGTACAGTTCAATAGTGTTTCAAGGCTAGGGAAGAAAAAGGAAGGCACAACACTCTGAGATAAAAAAATTCTTGCTCCTCCCTTTTGGCGTTTCACATTGTAAATAACACAATGGGAATATGTTCATTATAAAAAAGTATGTATGTCCCAATGTAAGAAGCTAAATGCTGAGGGTTATTGGTATCTCAAAATAATGGATACATAGGTAGCTCTCCAAAAAGGGATGAAAAAAATATGTGGTTGATTATCTGGAAAAATGTTGCATAAATTCTTTCCTCAACGTGAAAAGGGAAGGGCTGTTTCGAACAGTTAGTGTTCATTAATTCGCTTATCCCTTTTACAATGAATTTTTTTAAAGTTATTTATTTTATTTATTTATTTTTGGCTGCGTTGGGTCTTTGTTGCTGCACACGGGCTCTCTCTAGTTGCGGCAAGCGGGGGCTACTCTTCAGTGTGGTGCACGGGCTTCTCATTGCGGTGGCTTCTCTTGTTGCGGGGCACGGGCTCTAGGAACGAGGGCCCAGTAGTTGTGGCTCGCGGGCTGTAGAGCGCAGGCTCAGTAGTTGTGGCACACGGGCTTAGTTGCTCCGCGGCATGTGGGCTCTTCCCATGTCCCCTGCATTGGCAGGCAGATTCTTCACCACTGTGCCACCAGGGAAGTCCTACAGTGAATATTTGTTAACTATCTACCATGTGCCAAGGATTGGGTTAAACATTGGGGAAAAATAGTGAACAAAACAGAATTCCAAGCAAACTTCCTATTTCCTCCCTCATGGAATGTGTATTCTCTTGGTACATGTTAAGCAGACGATTTTTAAAATGTAAGTTACGTATCTGTTACCTGACATGAAGGAGTAACTCATGTCGACTTGGGGATCAGCGAGTCATTTTTCTTGAGAGCGACACTTGAACTGAGGTCAGAAGGAGGTAAGTGAAGATTTCTGTGTCAAGACCAAGTCATCTAAGCCAGTTCCTTAATCACACAGATGTAGGCAGTGAAGCTCTGAGGTGGCCGAACTCAGTGACGTTACCCTGGGGACTGAGGTCTCAGTTTTCCAGCTCCATTTCCAGCTGAGTTTCTTCCCATCACATCATGTTTTCTCTTCCAACCTACTTAATACAGGAGAAACAGTTTAAAATGTTTTATTAGATTTTAATTTCTTTGTCTTAAGCTTTGCAGTTTTCATTGGCTTTTCTTCTGTGTAGATTTAATTCATGTGTGTTTATCACTTGATTGAATTATTTTAATCAAAGTCAGTTAACCAAATCCTTTAAAAATTGAAAAAAACCCCACTCTCTACCATTTCCTATTACTAACTGCTATCCTGTTAAAATAGCAAAGGAAAATTTGTATCATCGAAGAAAAATCACAGCTCAGAATGAATTTGACCTCCTGAAACACATTTTAGAACACTTAAGTATGTGTGATAGCTCTTTTTGCTTCCTGACAAGAACAAAGACAGATTTATCTAGAGATTTATTAGCACAACATGCTTTTCTGGCAAAATGAGCCATGGTCTAACCTTTGAGATTGACAAAATACAAAATACAGCAAGAAATAAAAAAAACATTGCAGTTAACCTATTGTTTTCAAGATAGAGCATTTTTTAAAAATAATCTGCAGTGCTAGAGACTTAGCCATCTATTTAAATGTTGGACAATTTAGGGTTCTTCAATGAAAGGATTTTTAGGTCTCATTTAGAAATGAAAACAAACTTGAATTGTAAAAACTAAAATTCTTAAAAACAAAGTTTATAGTTCTACTTTTGTTCTTTTTAGCCATTTTAAATGGTAAGCTTAGTTGAATTTGAAAGAGAAAAAAATTGATACGGTAAATGTCTTACACAGTCTTCTGCTACCATGAATTGCTTAAGACTAGAGAGTGAATGAAGAGGACGAAAGGTCCTGATTGTCCTGGTTCTGGACTGACAGTTTTAGTGTATGTAATGATTTTTTGCTCCGTGAAAATTTTATTGCCAACCGAGGCTGAAATGATGTTGCATACAGAGTGGGCAAACATCTCATCAGTGTTTATTCTTGGTAAGACTGTATCTTCGTCCAAGTGCACTACAACAACGCCAAAAATATAGCAGTCTTTGGTTATCGTGTGAGTGTTAGAATCCTTCTAGATCAAACAGCGTCTATTCTGAGTCTGGATAGGAACTATCTAGGTGCTCTTCCAGAAAGTCAGTTTATTTCCCCTGGATGGGGAATAAAGGAGAAAAACACACGCCCGGGGAAAGAGTGAACCACACATGCAGTAGACGTATGCGTCCTCTGACCTACTCTACAGCTCAGTCTTAGCAGGGAGGTCAGCCTGACCTTGATGCCTGGATCCTGTCTGTGCCCAGGGGCATTTTCACAGCCCTGTGCTACTGTAGTTGGGATTTGGAACTGGTCTTGTTACGGGTGCCTGAGGGTCTGCAGTGGCCCATGAAACTGGCTCTAGTCCTAGGTCTCAGATGCCAGCCGGGTTCCCTGCTCACACTGAGGGCTGTGATCAGAGCCAACAGTAATGGTTTGGAGCATAGCCCTGCCTCTCCTCATGGCCTGGATCTTCTAACCCTCCCATCCTTCCCCCATCAGTGTGCTTGGTCCTCCCTCACTCTGAACAGTCATCTTGGGGACATATCACTAACACACACTGATTCCTAGAATTTCACGCCAGGAAACTCTAGATGCTTCCTCATGTGGGTTTCCAGGTAATGGGACGAGGGAACAGTTTGGCCGTTGTGTATCCTGGAGTCTCGTTTTTATGTCAGTGTATCTTCCAGAACGTTGGGCTTGTGAAAGGGGCCACGTGCCCACAGACAGCTCCTGGAGCCGTCGGATCTGTGGGAACACTTCCTAACACAGCTGTCGTAGGCAAAGAAAAGCAGGGCTGGCAGACGTATGAATCGTCGGCTACGTCACCCCGATCCTCTGCCAGAACCAGGGACGAAGTCTGCTGAAAACTTTATCGTGTTGGTGTTGACATAGATTAAGGTCTAATTTTGCTCCATTTTACATGATCAAACCTCAAGTGTTTAAGCACCGTCCTCCTAGAACTTCACACAGGGCTGAGTTATAAGACAGAAATGCGTTGAAAGAGCCCCAGAAGTCCTCCTACATAGATGGTTATGTCAGTAGCAGGTTTTCGTGCAGTTCCCTTTAAATCATGCGTCTTAACTGATCTCGGGGGCTCACATCTCTGTAACAGGACTCCACACAGAGCAGAGATTAATTACTTCCAGGAGGCTGGAATTAATTAATTAATTCCCGATGGGAAAAGGGACATTTCAAATCCCGACTGGACAGCTTACAGTTTGTGGTGAAGTGTTCATTCCGGGGGTGTCAGCTGTTGTATATTAGACATTTTCACACTGCAGACAGCTCAGGAATGACACGTAGCTAGGAATCATACGTGGTGTTTCATCTCTCGTTTTCTGGGAGAGGAAGAATCATGGTCTTTCACTGGAATTGCACTTGAGGAGTGAGTCGGCTTTGGGTAAGGAAAAACGCACTGAACTAAGATTGTAGAATCTGAAAAGCATGATTTCTAGAGTGTTGGTGCCTGCTCGTGATAACGGCTTGTTCAATTCATGTTACCCTCCCAAAAGGGCAAGGAGAAGGCCAGTAGTCAAGCAGAGAAAGCCCACTTTTATCAAGTTTACCTGTTTTACTGGGGTTTCAGGTTAAAAAAAAAAAAAAAGAATGCTATAATTTTTTAAAGTTTGAAAACAACAGTCTATGGATTAGCCAGGGTTAGACACGATGCTGTTTTCATTGGAACAAGGATGGGTCGCGTCTGCATCCTGCCCTCCGAAAGCTCGCAGTCTGTTGCAGGAGAGATACACAGTTGAGTCTCATTTTTTGTAGGTCCCGTATTTGCAGGCTGTCTTACTTAAATTATTTGCAACCCAAATCAGTACTTGCAGCATGTTCGCAGTTATCCAAGGACGTGCACAGTGGTAAAAGTGTTGAGTTCAGTGCCGCCCACGTCCCTGGCTGAGGTCAGTGCTCTGCCCTTTTCAGCTCTCCTCCTGTAAACAGGTGTCCTTTACATGGTCTAAAAAGTTGTTTGCCCTTTTGGTTGATGAGTTTGCTGCCTAAAATGACGTTGGGTGTGGTGATGAAGTACTGAGGTAGGGTTCCTCAGCGTAAGAAGTTTGTGACGTGTCTTAGAGAGAAAATAGGTGTTGGAAAAGCTTCATTCAGGGTTGACATAGTGCGGATGGACGTGCGTTCAACGTTAGTGTATCTGCAATATATATCCAATAAGGTGTCTTTAAACAGAAGCACACGTAGAACACACATAAAACAAAGTTATATACGGGCAGTGGATGAAAATGTGACCAGATGCTTATAGGCACGTAACCCTGTATTTCCTCTAGGAGCGATGGTTCAGTATTTGCGAATTCAGTATTTGTGGTGACGTATGGAATACTACTACCACGAAGAATGCGAGTTGACTCTGTGTGTGTGTGTATAAGCATGTTATTGTGGTACAGGAAGCATACATAGGTGTCATGAGAACACACAGAAGAGCCACATCTAGAGAAGCAAGGGCTGTGTGAGACCCCAACATCAGTGTCCTTCATGGCCAGAAGAACCCAGCTGTAGAAGATGGTCTCCTTTCTTTGGTGACCGTGGCCTATCTGTAGTTTGATTCTTCCACCTGCTGAGAAGTTACTTGAGCAGTAACCACTGTCTGGCTTGTTCTGGTCTGCTGATAGCTAAACGATAAAAAGGAGATTAAAATATTCTCTTGAATACCATAATGCCAAAGGTTTTACATAGACACAGAGTTGCTTTGGAGCAAAGGCCTTTTGAAAGATATTACAGGTGCCACATCTGACCAAAGTTAGATTAGTTTCACTTTGAACCTATTAACGCAAAGAGGCAAACGAAATGGTGCCTCGTAGAAACTCGTTTCCTTTCTTCCACTGTTCCCTTTGTCTAGTACATTATCTGCCCGAGAAGCAGAATGATGTTTTGAAACTATGAATTGGGGAGGGCGGGGGTGAACAGGCGGAGCACAGAGGCACTTCAGGGCAGGGAGGTGACTCTGTATGACGCTCTCACGGTGGACACATGCCGTTGTGCATTCGTCCAAACCTGTGGACTGTACACCACTAAGGGTGAACCCTAATGTAAACTGTGGATTCGGGTGACGATGGTGTGTCAGTACGGGTTCGTCGACTGTAGCAGATGTACCCTCTGGAGGGGGGTGTGGACAATGGGGGAGGCTGTGCATATGTGGGGGACAGGGGGCGTATGGGAACTCTCTGTGCCTTCCGCTCCATTTT